CCAGACCCCTGGCTCAGAAGGAGCCAAAATCTAAGTAGGATTTTCAGTCTCTGAGTGAAGGGAAGTGCAGTAAAGTTAGGAGCATAGGATGCCTCAGGGCAGTGGTGGCGAACCTATGGCACGGGTGCCAGAAGCGGCACTCAGAGCCCTCTCTGTGGGCACACATGCCATTGCCTCAGTCCTAGGCCTTCAGCTGGGTGTTATAAAACCTTTTCGCTTTAGGTCTCCGCTGCTGTGTGCAAAAAAAAAAAAAAAGGTTCAATCAGTCAATTTCAACTTCTCGCGGGAAAAAAAAAGATCTTGCAAAGTTAGAATTGATTGATTGAACTTTTTAGTCCCACCCAGTCTGCTGTTACCACTGCAGCCACGGCCACCCAATTGTCCACGCCCACCTAATGGTCCACACCCACCCAGCACTCGACGATGCATAAGTGAGTTTTGGGTTCCATTTTGGGCACTCAGTCTCTAAAAGGTTTGCCATCACTGCCTCAGGAGAAGGGGGAAGAGGAGTCCCTGGAAAGCTCAGTGCAAGCTGCATGCAAGTAATTCCCCACAGCTGCTCCTAGAAGCCCCCGCCTGGCTCAGTTACCCAGGGAAGTTCCAACCACAGGATGCAAAGTTAAAACTGCCCCAGGAAGCCCCAAACATGACCCAGCAAAGAATCGCAAAGCCGCAGCCATTCTCCAGTCCAAGGCCCCTGCTACCCTGCACTCCTGCCTTTGCCTGAGTTTATCTTCGCTACCTTCTTGCTGCCACTGCTGATGAGGCATGCGCGACCTGGCCATTTGCAAGGCAACTGTTGGCCACGTGAAGCCTTCTTCCCCAGTCTCATAATGAAACTGCTGTGCACATCTTCAGGAAGAAACTGCTGTGCGCATCTTCAGCTGTTTTGTGAAGGGACAGGCTTGGCATGCCTCAGCAGCAACAGAAACAAGACGACAGGAAAGGTCAGCTGAGATCGGTGTAATGAGGGACAGCAGGAGCAGCAGAGTACAGGAGCCAAAAAGGGAAGAGTTGATGGGAGATAGAAGGTTGGGGGGAGCTGAAGTGCCCCTTTAGTCATAAGTATAAATAGGCTGCCAAGCATCTGAATCCTGATCCAGTAAGCATGGGGGGTGCAACATCTGTCACTTCAGGGACTGGGCATATGTACCATTCATTCAGTACCAACGTAACTTGTAATTCAAGGATTATCTATGCAGAGCAATGCCTGTAATCAAATATGTTTATAAGAAGTGCAGGAGCTGCCAAGATCTTCCTGAAGCAGAAGCTGCACAAGCATGGGCCTCCTATCTCATGAAAGACACTATTATGCAGCTAACAATTGTAAGATAATGGTTGAACAATGGATAAGTGTTCTTCAAAGATTATTCTAACAGTAGGTGGATGTTCATTTACCTAGATGCCAACTACTCACAACAGGAAACATGTTCTCTCCCAGTTTGCTTCACTACACTGTAGAGAAGAAGCAAGAGATGAAGGATAATTTTGTAACTTTCATGAAAAATGCATTTGCGATTGGGAATGTAGAATCTGTTTCACTAAAGAACGAAGTCAAAGAATGCTAGTATTTCCTAACCGTTTGCAGATACCAGGGTCAGTACAGATATATGTGACTCATCTGACTTTTGGGGTGAGGTATCATCAATATGTTAATGGTATCCAGTTTTATATCTCTACCAAAGGCTGCCTGAGTGATACCGTGGACACCCTACCTCCATGCCTGAAGACTGTAGAGGCATGGATGGGCGCAAGGGTCTTCAGCTCAACCCAAGCAAGACTGAGTGACTTTGAGTGTTTGGGCCTTCTGGTACCAAGGTTTTTCCACCTCTAATACTGCATAGGATGGCACTGCCCCAGACAGATTTGGTATACAATCTGAGAAACATTTTGGACTATGTCTCCTGGTGGTAGAGCAAGAGATAAGTGTGGTGAAGACGGCCTTTGTACACTTCTGGGTTGTGCACCAAATGCATCCATTTATGGATCAGAAGGCTATGCTCACTCTTACCCTTGCAACCTCCCATTTGGACTACTGCAATGCACTCTACATGTGGCTGCCCTTAATGGCATTCAGAAGCTTCAGCTGGTACACAATGCAATTGCACAGGTTGTAAATGGTATTGTCTATTTGATACATGTTAACACCACAGTTGAACACAGAATGAAAATATTATGCCTTTGATAAGTCAATCATCAATGCTCAGAAGAATAGAGGGAAATGGGAAATGTGGAAACTTTCATTATAAGTTTTTGAACAGCTCTAAGTCCCACATGCTCATGCTTTCATTTCCCTCATTATATTGCACACAAACAAATTTGGTCTCTTTTTCACATGCTTCAGCAGAGACTTATATGAAATTATTTATACATAAGGAATATACTATGTAAGCTTGATTCTCAGAAAAAAAAGGGCCCAGCTGTCTGAAAACACTATTCCAAATTGGATTTGCAATGCTCAAGATAGTATAGAGCTAATGTGGATTGACATGTACATTCAATATAACATAGTAAAGATTTACACTGATCACTAAGTTGTACTGGGATATATCTGCAACCAACCAGAGCACTGTAAGCAACATGGTTGAATGCATCAGGAGATGAATATAAATAACTACAATAGTGGCATTATGTTTCCGCTAAGCAGAATTCTACAAACCACATTTCAAGGTCAGAACATACAGAACAATGTGTATAGACACAGATGGCATGGCTTACAAAGCCAGAATTCCTCCTACACTGTAAAAATTCATTGCCAAGTATATAAAACTTGTTCATGGAATATCTATGCAAAAAAACCTGCCCTCAAATCTCTCTCATCTTTAACATCTCATCTAAACATTAGCTTGTTTCACATTGTTTTGTGTTTTTTAAAATGGTAAACTCTGTTACGATCTATGGAGCATCTCATGTATATTTCTTGATACTCTCTCCCAAATCCTGAAAGTATCCCTGCAGTTCTGTCATACCATACCTTGCACCTACAATAGCTTCTCTCAAGCATGAAGAATCATTCTCTACAATAGAGGTCCTTAATCTTTTTGTGCTTTGAGACTCTGCTGAAACCTACAGACCCACTCTCAGAGAAACTTATCTAAAACAAAATACATGGACTGTATAGCTATTGGAAATCAATTAGGGAAACCAACTATGCTCAAATAACCAAAATAACTAAAAATAAAAAATGTAATATGAGGTTTTTATTAAGCCATTAAACCAATAACAAGACTAGCTAAATTAGTCTGAGCTTAATGAATATAATTTTACCCCATCTAAGATTACAGTCCCCTTGAAATCTCCATGGTCCAAGTTAAAAACTTCTGCCTTACAGTAGGGGGCCCCAAACCCTGGACTGCGGGCCAGTACTGCTCCACAGCCTGTTGGGAACTGGGCCACAGAAGCGAGTGAAGCTTCATCTGCGCATGCATGGAATCTAGATAGTGCGTGAAAGCACACATCCCCACCGCCACCAGTCTGTGAAAAAAAAAAAATGTTTTCCTGGAAACTGGTCCCTGGTACAAAAAGGTTGGGGACCGCTGCTCTACTACAGCATCCATAGAACAAGAGAATCAATAAGAAGGAAGGAATTTCTAAATGTAATCCCTGTACAAGGTAGTTCATGGAAAATATATTTGAGAATGGATATGCAGAATTTGCATCACCAAAAAAGAAATCAAAGAATGCTGTTATCTCCTAACCATCGATGGCCAACAATAATGCAAAACCACACAAGAGTGAACAAAATGCAGTTAGTATATCTAGTCAGCCCTATATTAAAATTTTACAAGCTGTAAACGTTGATTGACAACATGAATATATGGCAGAAAATGTGGGAAACTGGTGTTAAATTAACATTATTTAAGAGAGAACTTCTATAAAATGATATACTAATAGCATATATGATACTGACTAAACTGTCAAAAATGTGTAAGGGAGTATCAAACCAATGTTGGAGATATGAAAAGGAAGAGGGGACCTCAAAGTGTCTGACTGGTGTTGCCCACTATATCCTGGTCTCTATGTTGTCAAACAGAGGTACGCTCAGCTCAGTTATGATATTTTGAGTACCATTTTGGCTAAAGTCACAGTTATTATTAATTCAAGGCCTCTGATTCCTGTCTCTACTGATCCAGAATCTCCTAACAACTCTTACTAACTTTTCATTCAGAAGATCTGATTGAATCTGGCACTACTTGAGGCGTTCACCATCAAGGACCTGTACAAATGTCAGCAAAGATAAAGTCTCACCAACTCATTTTAGACCGCCACAACTCTACAGACAATATCCACATAGCAGTCCACTTAATAGAATTCCAAGTGGGTGACCTGTTCTGCTGAAAGACATGTACGTAAACTATATTCATGGCTTATGGAATTCATCACTCAAAATATGTATACTCAAGATTAACATATTTGCAAAGCAGAAATTAAATAAAGGACCATAAAACTCCTTTCAGATTCATCCTTGAAAGATGCATAATTACTATGGACCAAACCAGTACATATTACAAATATTCAAACTGCATCCAAAGCAGGAAAGAGGCTTCATAAATGGTGTGGCTATGATTACTGTACCTATCACTAGATCCTTAAATAAATTATGCTTTTTGTTAATTATATGGTCCAAAGAAATGCATGTTTGAATTAAACCTTACCATTTCTTTATCATCTCTCTAACTCAACACACATATATTCCCTAGGACCATGCAACTACCACGAGTGTACAAATGATATGGTTCCTTTAAGTAGTTATTGATAGGCACAGCTAACATGGCAATGTTGTATCTCAAGAACATTTTATCAGGAACAATTTTTGTTGCAGACCTTGAACATGTTTTGGGGGGGGGGGAAGGTAAGACACCAGATATTAAATCAACACTGCTGCTACTTGTGCATTTTTTAAAAAAAAAATAACCTGATATTAATTCTAATGTAATTATTATTATTAATAATAATAAGAACTACATTCTCAAACTACTAATTACTTAAACAAATCTTACCTGCAGGAGTCAGTAGCATAATTTCATTGCGCTTTGATTCAAGTTTTTCTTTCACCCATGGAAATTCTTGTAAGGATTCTAGAAATGCTTCAAATGCCTTAGGCCCTCTTGTTGGAAGGATGTCAAGAAGCACCAAAGTTTTCCGTTGATTAGTAACTTGGGCCCTTATTTCTTGCACATGATTGTCTGTTAGAATTTCTTCTTGATAAAGATATTGAATGATAAGGCCCTCAACCAGCAGCTCTGCACACAGCTCCAGGCGCAAGGAGCGCAGAACCTGCTTGTCTCTGGCATCCATCCTAAGAAAGAAAAAAATATGTGAGTGGCCAACTCTGAAGTCGTCACTTTGGAATCTTATCAATAGGCATTTGTAAAATGTGTGTGTATGAGAGAGAGAGGGGGGAGGGGAGGAGAGGGGAGGGGAGGGGAGGGGAGGGGAGAGAGAGAGAGAGAGAGAGAGAGAGAGAAAGGCATATTGCAAAAGACCCAGAAGACCCGTATTTTAATATTTCATCACCACTGGTAGCTGTTGTAAAGATTAGGACATATCAAAAATACAAAGACATCATTGATTATGATTTATCACTTTAAGCTGATTATGATTTATCACTTTATGTTTTAAGATGATTTCTTCAGTTCAAATGTAAGTTTTAAAGACTCACATCTATGGCTTTGGTGTGTACAACACATGCTCTTTCCAACAAAGAGAAGTGACTAGATTTACAAATTACAAAAATCATGTGATCTGTTTGGTTCTATAACAGAACAATGTAAAGTCTAGTTGATTGTAGTTTATTCAGCAAATAAATTAAACATCCGAAAGCTTAACAGTTAGGTTGCCAGCATGGGGCTGTTTAGCTGCTCCACCTATTTTTATTTTACTTTAATATAAAGAAAATGTAAAGCTATTGTGCTACAAAACAAAGCTTCCACTTAAAACATGTATCCCAAGGGTGTTTTAGGGTCACACACAGATCCCCCCAAATTTGTAATGTTTGCATTTAAAAAAAATGATAAAGAGTCAACTGCAATCCAGTGTTTATCTACTTCCCCAGTGGACCTGCCTTTAAGAAAAAAGTAAAGCTAAATAGAGAACATTTTAAGAGCATGGCTACCTGAGGAATTCTGGAAGTTGAAATGTACACATCTTAAAGTTGCAGAAACATTGAACTAAAGGAATAATGGGAAGTAGCCACACCAGTTTGTTTCTTTAGATGGCTGATTGGTTTGACCACGCCCATCAGTTATTTGTGAGAGGATTCTTAATATACTCAGATTTCAAAATGTGCCCATTTGTTCTAAAAGCTTGAGTAGCTTAGTACAGTGTGTAAATCCAATTATTGTCTCATGCTCCTCCTTTCTCTTAAAGTATTGCAACAAGTTCAATATTTCTGAACATAATTTTCTTTGAAAAATGTCTAGAAATTCACCTGATTTAAAATATAGTATTATTTTGACGGGAACTAGCTGAACAAGCTTCATCTTCTAATTTGTTTCTAGCTTTATTTTTAAATCTATAAACTAGGTGTGTCCAACCTTTTGACTTGATGGGCTATAGTGAATGAAGAGAAATTGTCTTGGACAGCATATAAAATATATAATATAGCTAATGTATATAAATAGCAAACATCCTTTTTAAATATATTTTTTATAAAATCTTGTGGGACTGGATTATTAACTGTATATCCGCGCGCACGCGCATGTGTGTGTGTATGTATGTATGTGTATATATATATATATATATATATATGTTTTCTGAGGTTTTCGCGGGTGTTTGTATGTAGGTCTTTGGTTGTTCGGGTTTTCTCCCGCGTAAAATTGGAAGTGTCTTGCCGACGTTTCAACGAAGTCCCATTCGTCATCTTCAGGCTGGTGCTTTCAGCTTCATGCTTCGTGCTCCTCGAAGCACGAAGCTGAAAACACCAGCCTGAAGATGACGAATGGGACTTCGTCGAAACGTCGCCAAGACACTTCCAATTTTACGCGGGAGAAAACCCGAACAACCAAAGACCTATATATACCTCAGAATATATATATATATATATATATATATATATATATATATATATATATATATATATATATATCCTTTTGTGCTCCACAGTCCACCTAGACCAGGGGTGTCAAACTCACAATGTCACGTGACGTGTCACAACGTATCGTGACTTTTTTGCCACTGCCGGCAATGGGGTAAGTGCGGTTTCGCTATGATGCATCTGGCCCGCAGGCCAGCAGTTTGACACCCCTGACCTAGATCTTTAGCACAGATTCTGTTTAATATTCTTTACTGGCAGAAACCTAAGTCAACAATTATATTATTGTAGCAACAAGTTTGGAGCACCTTAGAAGAAGCACTTCAGTGTCTTCTAAGAAATATTGACATTTTTTGACAGTGACCCCTTAATTTAATCCTGATTTTCTCAAAACTTTCAGTTTTATGACACAATGTTAATACCATCCAACTGAGCATTGCTTTTCCATAGATTGATGTGAGCCACTTTAGGAAAACTATTCAAACAAAACCTGCAGGATTGTAAGACAAAATTAAATAGAAGCTCTAAGGGGACCTGTTCCAGAAAATAATTACAATTACCAACATATCAAACAGCAGAAAATATTACAAAAAAAAAAAAAAGCAATCTGAGAAAAAATAGCAGAAGCATTAAGCCAGATCTGACTATTTAAATGGTCTGGGTAATCATGCAAGAAGTTCAACATATTTACATCTCTTGTAGCATTTTTTTGTTTTTAAATATGTATGTATGTATATTGATTTTAATGTGTTTTTATTGGATTGTTTTTAACTTGTTGTAAGCCACACAGAGTCACTTAGATGAGATGGCAGGCCATGCAAATTGAATAAATCATGATTTATCTTTTTTCATGAACTCCAGGATAACATATTTTCCCCACAAACCCTTCTATTAACAAAGTGAGAAGAATTCCAGGTTTCCTTATTTTGTCTTAATTATTTTTAGACCCTATATCCAGAATCCAACTATGCTCAAATCATTTTATTTTGGACGATCATATAAGCAGCTTTCAGACAATGCTATTCTTTCTCTTAAAAATTATGCATGCAGCAATAATAGTCTACTCACAACTGAAAGCCATTACTTGCAAAATGTAATTCTTTAAAGTAACATTTTTAAAGTAAAAACTGCAGAACATTGCCCCAGAAAGAAAAACTGCAGAGAAATGAAGTCGCAGAAGGTTTATATAAAGCCTAAGAAAATAATCGAACTGCTCTGAAAACTCTCCGTTGGGAATTATATAATCAGCACAATAAAAAGAACAAAAAAACTGTTTCTTTAAAATACTTACAAAATGAGGCGGAAATGTTATTTATTAACTCCAGGCGTAATTCTGAACTGCTCCTCCTGCACCATTTTTCCTGGAGAGAAAATCGCTAAACAGGAAGTGCTCCTTTCCCACATTTCTTACAAGCGAGAGACCTCGAAGAAAGGCGGGCGCTTGAACCAAACTTGCGCGACGATTCGACTCGGAAGTTCTTGCATCCTTTTGCCGCCATTTTGCCCTTCGCCTTTAAGATAGGAATGCAAGCTTCTTAGAGGAAAGAGTGGAGCAATCTGAAATTAGAACGGTTGTTTCTGTGATTAGATGCGTAGGCTGCTGGTAAAAGTTGAAAAGGAACAGAAGCTTATTTCAAAATCATATTACGACCAAAAACGTGCTAAAAGCCTGGAATCTAAATATGTCGAAACTACAATTCCCAGAATTCCGTGGAATATGCTACGAATTGTAATTGCGTGATCCTCAGAGAAGCTGGAAATTGTTTTTATCTTTCTTCAGGTTGGAAAAAGGGTTTCTGCTGCTACCCTCCCGAAGTTCTCTACAATTACCATGCATTTGAAATGAGTTGAAATTTAATTTTTGATATTTACTGATGAAATATATTGCTAAATCAACATTAATATATGAATAAATCCAGAAGAATGTAGGGCTAAAATATTGTGGTGCAACAATCAGGATGACAACTAGATGGCAGTAAAGTAATTTTGCATGCTTTGTTGTGGTTATCGAGTTGTGCTGCAGCAATATAGCAATTCAAGAAGAATCAAGTCACTGGTCACTACTAAGGTGTGACCATACTATACACATTACACTGGTTATCACTAAATTATGTTTTCTTCTAACAGTTGATATAATGGGCTGCAGTCATCTGCGAGAAGTGTATTTGTGACTCCAAACTGAAGCTTTAGAAGTATTATTCAAGAGATCAAATTCAGTTTTTTTAGTTAGAAAGGTTACAAGAATAGAATGGATCATGATTTGGCCAGGTTCTTAAAACCAGAAATTAACTTCATTGTTAAGGAGAACTCTCTTAAGAAATAAATCATTAGCAAAGCATATGATGATTTTATGATTTATATATTAGCAGTATTTTTGCATTCTCCATACCACCAATATGCAAAAATGTAACAATAAAACTTCACAATTTCCATCCTCCCCCAACAGAATAAAATAACATACCTCCAACCTATAAAAGATATTCAAGAATAACTTGCAGAATTAAGCTTTAAAGATTTGGCAGCATCAAACAGTTTTCATATCATTGCAAAATACCATCTGGTCAGGATCAGCTCTCAGGATAAGATGTTCCAAAGGTCAGTGCTATAGAGAAAGTCTACTTATTCATGAGGGAGTAGGGTTTTGAATATGGTCTTTCAAGGTGTCCTGATAGGATGAGTGGAATCATTTTGAAGAAGCACAGGAGGAAGCATTTGCTAACTCGATGCAGCAAGAGAAGATTGTATGTTTCCAGGGATGACACTGCTCAATGATGCCCAATTTAAGTGGGACAGAAGTTTTGAGTCTGCTAGGGAAGATGAGACAAGCTGAAGATCTAACCAGACTGAGTACATTTTCATGATGAGACCAGAAGAAGATTGAATGAGAGATATGTGGGGCATCGGGAATCTAGCATACTATTATCTGGAAGGTCCCAGGAAAGGAAGGAGTATGAATTGGATTTGTCAATGGAGAGACTGTTACATAATTTGTGGCAATAATTGGCTTATTGAAATGTGTTGAGTAAGTAGTTGAATGACTCAGACCAGGCATGGTGCACAGATATGCCTTGCATATGGTGGCAAAGGCTGGTGAAGTATGTGATGGTTGGAACCACTGTTGGCCTCTGGAGAAAATACAATGAGGGCTCAATTTAGCACCAGGATGGGCAAGAGATAGTGGGCTTGCATTATTGATATAGACCAGGTGTGTCCAACCTGCAGCCCATGGACTCCATGCAGCCCCATAAGATCATTAAAAAAAGGAAGTTTATTATTTATATACATTAACTATATTATATACTTTATATGTGGCCCAAGATGGTCTTCACTCAATGTGGCCAAGACAAGCCAAAAGTTTGGATACCCATAGTACAAACCCTATTTGTAAGCTGTTTGACCCAAGCCTAGGTATAGGTGGCCAATTTGTTAGGCTTTCTGGCTTCTGCTAATAAAGCCATCTCTGTGAGCAATAAGATTGCATCTATCTCTGGTTTGGTAGTAGATGAGAATGCACATCTGAAACATGGCTGAGCAGTAACAGGAGTGTAGCCCAAGTGAATATATAACCAGTTCAAGTGTTGCAGCAGAGATGGCAAGGCCAATGAGAATGGATTGCCATGGTCATGCATGAGACTTTCGCAGTGATGAAAACTGCTCCAGAGATAACTGTGTATGAATGTCTGAAGAATTGTTCTACAGAGACAAGCTAAGGTTGCTGATGGTATAGCAATAGCCTTATAGAAGCTCCTGGATACTGTTAAGAGTATTCAGGACTTCAATCTCCATGCCCTGGAGAATGGAACTGCAATAATTTTTATGAATAAATGGCCTCCATGGCCACTGTAGGTTTATTGCAAGTAATTGTGACCCCATGCACCTAGATAGTGACTATTTGTCACTTCAGAGAAGATGAGACATTTTCTGAAGATGGAAGATGATGACATCTTTCTTTTGGCTTGGTAAAATCATTTCATTGGTGCACTTTAAGTCATGAATGTCCTGGACCTTTCCATAGAATTTTCCATTGGACCCAATGGATCTAGAACCCAATGGATCCAGAATTCCAGAGGGTATTTTTTCTAGTTTTTCAAAGTGTTTTAATATAGTATTTTATCTAACAGAACAAGCTAAAAGCATTTTCACAAGATACAACAACTGAAATAATTATTCATCAGTATTTATGCATAACTTGAAATATGTATAAGTTGATTTAACAATAAGATATATTGCTTCCTGCACTGAAATATAATAATTTTCAGGATTCTTTTAATGTAGTTACATAATAAATATTGGATATTTACTAAATATCTTAGAATTGAAATAAAATAGGTTGAATTCAATGTCACACTGAGTTACGAGGTAAGTTGTATGTTTTTAAATCATAATAACCATAGTTAAGCAAAAATGTATTTTAGTATAATACATGAAGGCATTTATAGATTGATTTTATATACATTGTATGGAAATATATTTTATGGCATTGAATTATATTTGCTTCATCAGTACATATTTAGAATTGTTGTTCCTTCAAATTGGAGGAAAAATTTTACCATAACTAATCTACTATCAAGAGATAGTTTAACTATTGGAATGCTAAATATTGAATGGTGATCATCTTTAATGTTTCAAAGCCTCATTAGAGGCTTAGAAACATTAGTTAGAAGATAATGCTTTTGATTAAATAAAAGAATTATAATATTAAGCATGTTTTCTGAATTCATTCTTTAGATCAGACATGTCAAACTCCTGATGTCACGTGATGTCGCACGATGTATCAGAGCTTTTTCCCCATTGCTGGCAATGGGGTAGGCGCGGTTTCCTTGTGACGCATCTGGCCCGCGGGCTGGCAGTTTGACACCTCTGCTTTAGATTATAACATAAACTAAATTATGTTGGTGCATAATTTGCAAAAAATATGCACTCTAGTATATTCTGTTAGAGCTAAGTTTAGATTGCAATTGATTTCCATTCACAATTTCAGCCCAAAGGTAACAAAAACGAAGCCTGTGTCTCTTTAGAAACACATCTAATTTTATCCAACACCTTACAATAGACTCTCTCAGTGGTAGTAAAATAAAGATAAGGATTAAGTTTTCAGCATAATGACACCAAGCTAGTACGGTAATAAACTTAGATAGTTCACACAAATACTAAGCCAGGATATTTTAAAACACTATTTAATCAGCCATAGCAGTTGAATCTACATATGAGCAGGGCTACACATTATGGTACACCAATGATTAACATGGCTTGACAGTCAGCCCCACGTGCTGGAGTTATCACAGTACCTTTAACTCACTACTACCAGAATAAGACTACAAAATATTTCATCCCAGCATTATAAAAATCAAGAATATGAAGAGATAGTCTTCCACTTTTGATTCAACATGCAATTCAAAAGATTAGGAACAGACTTTGCAATAATAAGGAGATAATAAATTGCTATATCAATGGGCAATCCAAAGGCCACTTGCACTATCCCAGCAACCCATTTGCTGTTCCCAGAATTCCACTGCAGCTCACTGAGCCAAATCAAAGTGTTTGATGAGTGGTCCAGAGATGACGTGTGCTATAGAGGCTTACTTCATATCTCAACTTCTCTCTCTCCCTCTCTTGGATTAATTTATTTTATTTGGATTCTTTGTCTTTGTGAGAGAAGAAACGGAGGAAATTGGTCCCACATTCATTGTACTGACATCTTAACTTTCCTACCACAGCCACCTACAAGCAAAATATAATGTGCAGCAACATGTGAAATAATTTTAGCATATTTATTCTGAATATATCAAAATCGAAATGAGAGAATAGATGTAAAAGAAACATTTCAATAACGTTACGTATCTCCATTTTTGTTGTTCCCACAGCAACAAATGTATCTACACAAGATAGTTTTGCAAATAATCATGTGAGCATGGCCTCAGTTTCTAGACATGAATATCATTGTAGCCCTGCCTAAATTTAGCTCCTAATGTGCGCCTGGCTCTTTGCATCCCCAGATGTTTTTTTTTCTTATTTGAATAAACAGAATAAAGACTAACTTTAAAATTAAGTTTCAAAAAGTTTCTATGACTGCATCCACCAACTGCTGAGAACTTGTGTAGTGGTATATAAGAATTAAAGAAAGAGGATATTTTTCTTCTTTACTCATTTTATTAAAATTCAAGTCCTTCAGCACAGAATAAATGAAATCCTTTTTTGCACAATGCATAATTATTATATGGGATTATGGCATAAGATGTAGTTGAGGCTATTAGCTTGGATAGTATTAAAAGAGTGTTGAAGCAATGTGTAGGAGAAGAATTTTAGTTTTTTAGAGCTACTTTATTACCTATCACTAAACTAATCAAACTTAACTGCTAAAATGTCAGTATGAATACACTTGGTGCCATAATTTTTGCTCTTGTACAATATTGTACAAATATTGCTTGTACAATTTTGAAAAGTCCATTTGAACACAGAAACACATTAAGAGTATAAGCGCACTACAATTTGATTTACTGAATACAGTCTGAAATTGGATAGTTATAGGCTTGAATAGTCTTTTTTTTAAAGGCAAAATTACTTGCATTTCAAGGAAATAAGAACACTAAAAAATTCTACATTGTAGAAGTTAGTCATATTTGCTATTGTTTTGGATTGAAATGACTGCAAGACTGCAGTCTAGATATTTATAAAGTCTCATTCAAGGGAAGCCTGTTATTGAAGTTAGGGATCTAGACTAAAAAGTCTGTGGTAACACAAATACCACAAAGTCTGTGGTACCTTACCCTAATTCAGTGGCTCCCAACCTTTTGGGCACCAGGGACCAGTTCCATGCAGAAAGGTTTTTCCGCGGACTGGGGGGGGGGGGTATGGTTTTGCATGCTGCCTGCTTCGCTTGTTTGCATGGACTGGTTGTTGGAATGCTGTGGACCGTGTCAGTCCACAGACTGGGGGTTGGGGACCCCTGCCCTAATGTATTCACTGAGTCCCTTTAACAGTGATAATGTGACCTTTGCTTTTTCACCCCTACTTTGAAGTAAGATTTACTTTTAATCATTTTTTAATTATTTTTAAATCAAGAATGATTTAGCAGCCTGGGCTGCTTCTGGCCTTTCAGAGATGTGTTAGCTCTGTAGGATCAGGACCAAACAAACTGTATTTAAACACATACATCTGACATGGTTACTCCCCATGTATACCATACTCCCATTTTTCTCAGATTAAAGTTATTATTTAGGGAGGCTTTGTGGAGACCATATTGAAGGCTTGGGGTGGGGCTTGTGTAGTCTTGGGATCTAAGTGTATAAGGGAGACTGTTGCAGCTCTCCAGCCCAGAGTGTTCAGAGCACATGTATGATTGACTGCCTTATACCTTACCTAGAAATCTCCCATTTTGACTGTTCAAATAGAACTTTGTTATAATACTAAGCTCATATTCTGAATAAAAATGGATAAATTTGCTCTGTAGCTTCCATAAGAGCACCAGTATGATGTAGTGGTTAAGGCATCAGGCTAGAAATCAGAAGACCGTAAGTTCCAGTTTCATCTTAGGCAAGAAGTCAACTGGTGACCATTGCTCAGTCTCTCTCTCTCTTTCTCAGCCCTAGGAAGCAGGCAGTGGCAAACCATTTCCCAAAAATCTTGCCAAGAAAACTGCAAGATTTGTCTAGGCAGTTGCAAAGAGTCAACGTGGACTTGAAGGCACAAAAAAAAAAAAAGTTTCATGTATTCATAAGCAGGTAGAACTGCTAGATAAGTTTTTAATAAGAAAACACTCGAGTGCTATAATATTAGGAAATAAAAGCTTGCTATTTATTAATATGTAAATTATAATTAATAATGTGCAAAAAACATAATCAGGAGCTTTAGACTGATCTAATCTCAGACAGTGAATCTCACTAGCCTCTTCTATGCCAATCTTTTATGCTAGCTGGAAATTTATTGCCCAAAATATATGTTCCCTTTGTAACTTCATAAAAAGTTTACAGTGACCTAAATGCAGAGTTGTTAGCCATTTGCTGCTGAAATCCAGATGCCTATCCTCCCCTTAGCCCTTCTGATATGAGGAGAGCAGTCAACTGTAAATGTTCACTAGGAATCAGCAAATCTTTCTTAATCTTTCAAAATACTGATGAATGCAATATCTCTCAGAATGAGCACCACAGATTACTTTAAGGTACCCATGGTATCACTGACTGGTCCACATTATTCAGAGGTTATTTTGAAGGGCAGCCACATCATTTGAATTGGGATTTAGTAATATTTCACAAGATGGCTCTCTGTAAGAGAACCATACAGAACTGCCTCATTTATATTAAGAACAAAGTGAGTGCATAGGTATCAAAGAGCAATGAACCATTCTCTTATAGGCACTTTTTCCCACTGAAACACATTTTTCCCCAGCTTGTAATTCTAATAGCATCAGGGAGCTTACTGAGCACCAAAGTTTTAATAGTGAACATTAAATCCAAGTCCTCTATAAAATCCACAAACATACACAATAACATACCATTTTCACAGTGACCTACATGATACGTTCATGCAGCTGAAGATTTTGATTTCTTACAAATTGTATTCAGGTCCTGTTTCCTTAAAATGAGGCTGAGTAGATGCTTATACCCGATATCGATATTCCTTTAAGAATTCCTTCAATCTTGTTGGTAACGGAAGTTCCTGGATTTTACTTGTATATCTGTTTATTGCTACTCTACACTGATGCTGTAGAGACAGTGTTGAATGATAGAGAGGTTTGTTCAAATAAAGATGGACTGTACCATTGGAAGGTATTTCAGAAACCATTCTTCTATCCTTGCACATAAGGACATAATATTCAATTAGGTGAACCACACTGTCAAATTGCTGGAGTCTTGATCGAATGCAGATAACAGAATCCAGACTGAATTTACCACCTTGAAATTCTATTCGTAAGTTTGTAGGACCTACTGAGGTTTTGACTGAAATAGTAAGTAAATACTCTGAGTGAGAGCTGTCTCTGACCAAGAAAGTCCCTTCAGATGTTTCTTGTAATCTTCCCTTTGCTTCTGCAACACTCATGCTTCCCCAATACCATCCTAATAGAAGAGAAAGCAAAAATAGTTAAGAATCTTCAGCATATTTTAGATAGAATACCACTAGAAGCTGAGGATAGTCCAGTGCCCGTAATTATCTGCACTGGAGAATTTTGATAAAAGTCAACATAATAAATGCATTCAAATGATTCAAATCACTTAACATTCTAATACTACTTCCTGGGTGTCCTTGAATAACTAATGCAGTTTCTCACTTTTACTTTCTGTTTTGAATACCAGCCCCAGAAGGCCAGAAAAGATACCTTGCAAATAGAATATGATATGTATCTATTTAAGAATAAATACCATTATACTACATAGGGTTGATTTCTGAACCAATATACTTAGTTGTATTGCAAAAATGCTGTACGTATATCAGCAGGATTTAAGACTGCCCATTTTTCAATAGCCTTGTTTTGTTAACAGCTGTGCTAAACAAACAAACAAAATCCTATAACACTTCAGCCATCAAATATAGTGCAGATATGTGAAACATGAGATTAGAACAAGGCAAAATTTAGATTCTAAAAATCCTAAAATCAACACTTTCTCTTAATCCCAAAGAATAAGAGAACATCCCTTTCATTTAATAACTGAAGTAGCCTGTCCAAGATGGTTGTCTCCACATGCATTAAAATACAACTCCTAGGATCACCTGGCAGAATTGGAATAATTTTTTGTTATAATACAGGAGTAATAGCTAAAAGTAATAGTTTTGCAGTGTACCAATTTAGTCTCAGAACTAAATACAGGACCAAATAGGAAAACTGTAGTGAAAAAGGGACATCTTTTTAAAAGTGTAATATAAAAAGTAAAAGTAAAATAAAAAGCCTAGGGTGAATAAAGCTAAAAGATTTTTCAAAGAATTCTTATTAGAATTTCTGATCACTATCCTAAACAAATTGACCTGTTTTTATTAATACAGAAATGCTTTCCTAGAAGTCTTATGTAGCTTGAGATTTACTCCTAATTCTGCCCTGCATTTTACTAGTCTCTAAATTCTGAGGTGTTACTACTAGTGGGAGAACAAGTTCAGGATTATACAATGTATCTGATAATGAACACCTAATTATGTTGGCTAATCTGAAATGTGGAAATTCAAGATGGATTGAAGTTGCAGCACAGTGCTCCAACATACAGGTCTGAGAAACAACAGGACTTGTTTCTTCCTTCTTATTTCCCAGAACCTTAAACTATTATTTATTCCATCAGACAGGATTTTTTGCCTGCTTCCTGAGAGTTACTTTAAGTCGGAATGATCATTAAAGAAAAGTTGAAAACCCAATGCAGTTTCCAAACGCAAGCAACGACTTAAAACTAGCATCAAAGAATAACGTAGAAAAATAGTTAACTCTGCAGGGGTTTCCAGGGAGGTAAACACATTAGTTTTAGGGAATAATTTTGGGCTCAGCCCCACCGCCTTTCCACCCTCGAAGCGCGATCATTTCGAGTCGTGACTGCAACCTTGTCGTCCAGTTTCAGATTCTGCGGAGCGCCGGCTTTTAGGGCTCCACCTCTCAAGGGCTTAATGGCGAGGGTCTTCTTTCTCATCCCACAACTCCATCAGCGCTGATGATGCTACACAATAATATCACTCCAGTTCCTACGAACACTGCATGCAGGGAGGAGACAAGCTATTTTTTTCTCCCACGGGTCAATCTAACCACGGGTGCCCACTCCCACGCTCTCATTCCCCGCGCTTGGCTTACCCGCGCATCTCAACTCCCGCATGGCAGAGTCCAGGCGCTCCCTTTCAGCAGGTTCCGCCGCGGCTCCTCCAGCTTCCCACTCGGCCCCAGCCCTGTCGGCGCCATCCGAGGATTCGGCCGAGCGCAGGGTCATTTGGGGGCAGAGACCACGACGTGAGGAGGAAAGTACGGAGTGCCGGACCCTTACCAGAGCTCCTGGCTGCTGCCCCAGCCCATCTGACCGCCGCCCGCAGGGACCTGCAGCTCTGCAAGAGAGGAGAACCAGGGCCCGGCGAGAGGCTCCGTCGAAATCCGCCACTCCGAACGTTCACTTACGGAGCATCCCTCGGAAAGGCGTCCCGTTTGTTGCTGGGGTGGGTGAAGGGCGTCCGTTTTTCTCTGCCTCCTTCTTATTGTCCTGACTTCCCCATTACACACGAGGGGAAACAGCACCCGCCGGGAAAGCGCCCTGCCGCCACCTGGCCAGGAATTTCGAGGATGGCTTACCGGCTGCCTCCAAGGTGCACGCCTTCTCCTCCCTTTCTATGCACACCGAGAGCGGCTGCTGTCTAGGAAATAATCGGTGGGCAGCTCTGAGGCGAAGAATCGTGTGTACCCGGCCAAACTCTTACCTTCGGCCTCGCCAGCAAACGCGGCAAAACCCAGAAGGGCGGGATGCTGGTCTCTTTAGCGCGGCGCTTTTTAAACGGAGAGGCCGTTGGGAGGCTCGCCACGGCGACCAGCCCTGCTTTTGTTTCAAAGGAGAGAGGGGGGGGAGACCACCGCGGCATCAGCTGCTTGAGAGCGAGAGAAAGGCCGGGCGAGTGGCCCCCGGCCCGGCCAGCTCAGGTTATGCTCTCCTACAAGAGCTTATCCTACCAACCCGCAGCAGGAAATATTCATGTGACGCGTGGACGCCTAGTAAACAGGAGCGAAGAGCCGCGGCCGGCAGGCGAGATTTGCTGCCTGGCGCGCGCCGATACCGAAACAACTCAGAAAGTGGGGTGACTCGGTTGAATGTCATGACTGGGATTAATAATGGCGAGGCGAGCGTTGTCCTGTCTTTGCTCCTTTTCCATTTCAGGGAGGCTAAGCGACCTACTACTTGGTGCGGGGGGAAGAGACAGGTTCCTCGTGCTTACACTATGTGGAGCCCCCCCTTAGTCCCCCCCTCCCCCGGGACACATTGCAAGCGATCTGGACGCAGCGTCGGGGTGCCTCGCTCGGTGCTCGGCCGTCTTCTCTCCCCGCGGTTATTTTGCTTTGCTTTTTTTCACTCGCGGAACGGTAAAAAATGCAAAGGCCGCTTTCCAAGAACTTTCCAGGAATCGCGTCACGTGACCGCCGGCTCCCGCGCCTCTGCTTGAAATGGAGCCGCCGTGTTGCAGCAGCCGCTCCTTCCTTCCTCGCTGGCTCTTCTCTCCCCCCCCCCCACCTCTTTCTTCCCCGGAGGGAGCCGGGGCAGGAGCAGAAACAAAAGGCGTCTTCGCCGCCGGAAAACAGGGAAAACCGCCTCCGCCGAGCTTCTTTACGGAGCGACGCTGCTGAATGCACGGCCGACTCCTGCTGTTTACGGGCTGCTAAGCAAGGCTCGCTCGGCATCTGTGACGCTTATTCCTCCGAGATAGAGAACGCGAGAAGGGCTTGTGCCGCTTCTGGGGTGGGCACAAGAGGGGCAAAGGGACCTGTCCGCGGAGGGTGGACGAAGTTCTTGACTTTCGATGCTGCCCTACCGTCAGTGCCTGGGAGCGGTTTACTGCCTACATCCTCAGCCGCTTCCGGACCACCTAAAATTAGTATGTGACCGCGCGTTGCTTCTAAGCAAAATATTAGGCCTGAAATAGCCTTGAAGGTTGGTCGAACCGAGATCCTGGCTATTCTTGACCAGAGAAGAAGGAATGGGGTTAATGCATACAGTTATAATAAGGGATTAAAATGGGCAACATTTTAAATGCCCCATATTTATTGGATTACTCCGTACAAGTAAATCCTCATAAACACAATGGATCAATTATATAACCCAAAATAACAGGCTTGGGTAGTGATCAAGATTAATATTATATTGCCTAATATTTCTGACCAAAACTATTTTGTTCTGAAAATGATTTAAGAGAGTTATAGGAAACAATAACGATCCTCTATTCTAAACATAGTAAAAGTAGTGGCCGTATTTACAGAATACTCTTAGCCATGGTTAACAGGATAATGGTTTATTCAGTTACAGGTTTGTATGACATGCTGAAAGATAAATTGACCGCATGAGTTTGTGTAATAGGCTAAGCTAAAATGGTTGGAAACAGAGCACCTGGAAGTTTTGGGTTTTTTTTTTGTTAGTAGTTGGATTTCATTTCACTGACCTATCAGTTTCTAAGAATGTTTCTGTTGTCGTTTAGAACCAGAGGCCTGATTAAAAATAAAGATGAAGCCAGAGCATGACAATTCTTCTTTTTAAAAAATGATTTTTTTTTCTAAATATAAAAGAAATCTGATGGTCAGAGAGCCTGGTGGATACAGTACATAAGTAGACTGATTTCATATTGGCAATACCAGGACTAGGGCATATCTATACATTTGCACATAAATTTATGTGGTGGCGCAGTGGTTAGAATGCAGTACTGCAGGCTACTTCTGCTGACTGCCGGCTGCCCGCAGTTCAGGATTGTCACCAGCTCAGGGTTGATTCAGTCTTTCATCATTCTGAGGTTAGTAAAATGAGGACCCAGATTGTTGGGGGCAATATGCTGACTCTGTAAACCACTTACCGAGGGCTGTAAAGCACTGTGAAGTGGTATATGTCTAAATGCTATTGCTATTTTAGCTCATTATTATACATTAATTTTTTTGTCTTAGATTAACAAACTGATGTCAATGGCTTTAATTAGCATTAGTATGATTTTTGGATTTAAACCTATAAAAAGCATGTACCACTAATTGTATGGAAACTGCACTATGTAACATTTTGTTTGCAGGAAAAATTCAAGTTTCTTATTTTTATACAGTAATTCTCTGCCTTGTTTAATAAAAAAATCACAATCTTCAGTAGGGCTGATTGTAGTGTGTAATTAGTATTGAACATTTAAGGATCTTTGTGAGTTGCACTGCAGATACTTAAAGGAATCTCTCTCACTTTGTGTATACACACTAGTTTTTATGGTCTGGCACACATCAACACTTGTGTGGTTTTCCTGAAGACATGGTTCTTGGAGGCAGTTGCCAGTTGAGGCTTACCAGATCCGGGTCTGGCTCTTTTAAATGAACATCAAATACATGTTAATTTAGATAAGCTTTTTGTTGTAAACATTTAGTTTTATTGGCTGCTATATTTATCTTTTTGTCTCCAATAATTTTACTAATGTTTTCAATTATATTTTTATTTTATTCTTGTCCTTTGATATAAAAAGAGGGCATGTTCATGTATTAAGAGGGCAAGCTGAACATTTTCTAAATAAATAAACTGTACTTTTAAAATATTTCCCAGTAATTCTTTGAACTATTCTGAGAATTTGTTCTGAATTTGAATTTCTGTATGCCTGTTAGAAGTGACTGTATTTAAATTCTCTAGTGTGAGATTATTTTGCTTTTAATTATCCTTCTGCTTTATCTTGAAAAAAAATTAGTAATGTTTGGTAAGATTAAATTGTCCTTATTGAGTATGAACTCAATGTGAGCTCAATACATGTGAACGTCTTAGTAAATATTTAGGATCAGATTTTGTTTTCATTAGGATCAGATTATGTTTTCATTTACATATTTATTTCTCAGAATACTTTCTTTGATTTCGTTTAAAAATATTTTCAGCTAGCTGTTGCAGATGTTTATTATTTATTACATTTATATTTAGTTGCAATCCAATTAAGGACTTAAAATGCTTGAAAGATTTTTTTTTTCTACCATTCAGTTGTATATGATTTTCAGAGACTGCCTGGACAACTATCAGTTTTCTTCACAAGGTTTTCAGAAGTGGTTTGCCATTGCTTTCTTCCTAGAGCAGTGGTGGCGAACCTTTTAGAGACCGAGTGCCCAAACTGCAACCCGAAACCCACTTACGCATTGCTGGTGCCAGGGTTGTGGCCACCAATTGGGCATGGCTATGGTAGTCATGGCAGCGTGGGTGGGCGTGGCCAGGGTGGACATGGCCACCTCGATGTTGCTCCTGGGGAGGGATGCCTGTGGGGGCCAGGCAGGATTGGGGGAGATCCAGGGGTTCTCTGGCGGGTGGGGCAGTGGGTAGGAAGCTCATCCTGCAGGGTGAGATGAGGCAAGGCAAGGGGCAAGGCAGGGGTGCCATTGCTGTGGGGCAATGCAATGTGAGGCTGGGGCAGGGGCTGGTTGCAGACGGGGGCTCCGGTGAGGAGATGGAAGAGAGTTTCAGCAAGCTTAGCAACCAGAGTGGGGATCCCTCCCCAAAACAAATGTGCTTCATGGATAACCTCAAAGCACGACAGAAGAGACCAAAACCTGCTGCAACCACCCAGCAGATGGGAGGAGAATAAAAACCAAACAGCCCCCCCCCCCGCCAATCCTCAATGAAAGCCTCGGGTGGGGAAGAGTGTGGGCAGGCGGGCGTCTTGCTCAGCTGATGGCTTGGAGGAGAAGGGCAGCTACACCCCCTCCCAAACGCTGCCCTCTCACGAAAGCAGGATGAAAACTCCAAAAAGGAACAAGGAAAAAAAGTTAAAACAGAAGAGTGTCCTTTGTCATCCCTTCCATTTTCTCTAGTGTTTCACACAGGTCACAGAATTTATTTTTCCAGATAGTATTTTCCTGAAATCCCAGTAGCTCCATTTCTAGATTTTCTAAATCTAACCATTCTAAGCAGGAAAGATCAAGTTCTTCAAATTTGGCTTTATCTGGAGAAGTAAGAAAACACAGGGTTGTCTCCATCTTATGGAACTGTGAAAATCTGTTACTAAAATTTACCTTTGCAGCTGCTACAATGCTAGAAAATTCCTTGCAGATTTCCTGATGGCTTGTAGGATTGTCTGCAAATGATGTAGAATTTTCTAAATGAACTTTTAGACTAGGAAAATATTTCAGCTGCCCACTTTCAAGATCTCTTTCAAAAACCTGCAGTTTTCTCTCAAATGTTTTGATATCACAAAACATTCTTTCTGCTGTTTTCCCTGCACCTTGTAATTGTTTGTTGAGCAGATTGAAGTGTGTAAAGTCTGTAAAAAACATGAGGTTGGTAAGCAGGCCATATCAGTGAGCTGTGGATATTCTTGCTCTTTTTCATGCATAAACATCTGAATTTCATCCAAACAGGCCACAAATCTCTCCAGGACTCGCCCTCTACTCAGCCAGCGGACATTATTATACATAAATAAACAATCATACTGTGCCTGAACCTCCTCAAGAAGCACTTGAAATTGTCGACAATTCAGAGCGTGAGCCATGATGTAATTCACTATTTTTGTGACGTTTTTGAGGACATCATCAAATTTTTTGTTGCTTTCCTTGGCACAAAGAACTTCCTGGTGTATAATGCAATGGAACTAAATTACTTTATGTTTTGTTTCTTGAAGAAATAACTGTATGAAACCAGATGTTGCCCCCACCATAGAAGGTGCTCCATCACTTGTAATTGAAACCACCTTTTCTGGTCTTATGTCTTATGATAAAAAAGCTTCCTTCACAGCATTGTAGGTATCTATACCTTGTGTTCTTTCAGGCAAAGACATCAGTTTCAATAGCTCTTCTCTCATGATGTCACCAACAGCATAACACAAAATTACTGCCAGCCTTGCATGGTTATTGGTATCTGTGCTTTCATCCAAGTACATGGAGTAACAGGCTGCCTTTTGTAAGTCAGTGTTGAGCTGCTGACTAACATCACTTGCCATGTGCTGGACTCTTTAACAGTATTTCTGCTCAGTGGTATCTCAGAGATGTGTTGAATAATTTTATCCTTGTTTGGGAAATCATGAAAAAGAGAATCACTTCCAGACAACATGGCCGTTTTGATAATATCCCCATCAATGCTATGCAAGTGAAATTTTAAAACTGGCAGCTATCAGATGATTCGTTCTGGAAAGATAGTTGGAAAAA